GTTTTGCTCACATTTTAAATTAACAATGTATATTATGGTCTTACTTTTCTGCCTTTGATTTAGTGGTTCAATTATGTATTTGTAACTGCAGGGAAAAAGTTGCGAAGATATCATTTCTACACTCCGTAATGGCTCAGCAGCTGAAAGTGCCGTGGCCAAAATGCAAGAGAGAGGTCTGTTAGCTCCTCGAAGATCAAGGCACAGGTTGACTCCTGGAACAGTTAAATTTGCAGCTTTTCATGTTCTCTCACTTGAGGGTAGTAAGGGTTTGACAGTACTAGAGCTTGCTGATAAAATCCAGGTGAATGGTTTACCATTGTATAAACTGTAATTATAAAGTGCTTTCCGAAAAACTGACATTTGTTTTTATATCTCTTTTCCTGCCAGAAATCTGGTCTTCGGGACTTGACAACCAGCAAGACACCTGAAGCATCAATTTCTGTTGCTTTGACAAGAGACACTAAATTGTTTGAAAGAATAGCTCCATCAACATATTGTGTTCGGACTGCATTCAGAAAGAATCCTGCTGATGCTGAGAACATTCTTTCAGAAGCAAGAAAGAAAATTCAAATATTTGAAAATGGGTTTCTAGCTGGTGAAGATGCTGATGATGTTGAGAGAGAAGAGGAATCAGAAAGTGACGAAGTTGACGAGGATCCTGAAGATGATGATTTAGTAAATCCTTCAAGTGCAAACCAAAATTCTGAACAGTATGATGACACAAACATTTGCTCATCAAATGGAAAAGAAAATTTGGGTCACAATGTAGATCTTATTCAAAATGAGTTTGATACGGATCTACCTTGTTTTCCTAAGAATGTTTCTACAGATGCTGATTGTCTCAGTTCTGTCACTCCACAACCTGTTGCTTGTGAAGATTTAAATGCTGGAAATCTTGTTCAAGATAATATGGAAATTGATGAAAGCAAATCAGGAGAGTCCTGGATTCTAGGGCTTGCTGAAGGAGAATATTCTGATCTCAGTGTAGAGGAGCGTTTAAATGCTCTTGTCGCGTTGGTTGGTGTAGCAAATGAAGGAAATTCAATCCGTGTTGTTCTTGAGGTGAATTCTTTTCTGTGTAGTGAGTACCTTGTGTTTATTTTTGTTTAGTTTTTATGTTGATATCGAGAGTTTTTTAGGATCGACTGGAATCAGCGAATGCTCTGAAGAAACAAATGTGGGCTGAAGCACAGATAGATAAAGTTCGTCTGAAAGATGATATTATTGGTAAATCGGATTTTCCATCAGTTGCTGGGAATAAGGTTGAGACACAATACACATATCCAGCTGTGGGGGGCAACCAAAGTCCAATGCTTGACATTAATATTAACAATATTAATAATGAAGCATCACCCAGCACTGCAGAAAACCAAAAGGGAGCTCTTGTTGCACAGAACATGCCTATGGAGAAGTCCTCGTCAATTCAAGATTTTGGCACGGGTACTTGTGCAGACATCCCTCATACTCAGGTACCTGCACAATATTCGAAAAGATCACGTTCACAGTTGAAATCTTATATTGCCCACATGGCAGAGGAGATGTATGTTTACAGGTCTTTACCCCTTGGCCAAGATCGAAGACGAAATCGATATTGGCAATTTGTTGCCTCTGCTTCCAGCAATGATCCTGGTTCTGGCAGGATCTTTGTTGAATATCATGATGGGAAGTGGAGGCTTATTGATTCTGAAGAGGTAAATTGTTTATTCTGTACTTAAGCTGATCGACTAAATTGTACATTGATTTTGACATGTTTATTATATTTCAGTGTCAGTGCATGCTTTAATGTCATGTATGTTAGGACACAGCAAGTCTCCTTTTACTTTTAGACATACTAATTCCTAAGAGACTTTTCCCCTAAATTTATTTTTTTCCCATCAATATCTGATCTTTAGCAAATGGAATTAATGAGCCTCTGAATTTTAGACATTTGCCCCATCCTTAGTATATTCATGGAATCATGGTAACTCTTTTGTATAACTTTCTAACCTTTTATCAAAGTTCCTTTTTTCTTTACCAACAATTCATTGATACTGCCTTGGAAATATTATTGAATTTGTGATTCATTTAAATCTTTAGGTGCCAATTTTGTGTAAAAATTAATTGCTTTATTTTTTTTGTCATAGTTGTTACAATATTATTTATTCTACTATTGCAATGCAGGCCTTTGATGCTCTTTTGACGTCATTGGATTCTCGCGGGATCAGGGAATCTCATTTGCGCTTGATGTTGCAAAAGATTGAGAATTCCTTTAAAGAAAATGTTCGAAAGAAGAATGCACGATGTGCCAAGAATGGAAGTAGAGGCGAAGTTTCTATTAAAATTGAAGCTAATGAAACATATTCTATCCCTGACCACAATGCTGGATCCGACAGTCCTAGCAGTACCCTTCATGACTTGAACCCTGATATATCTGAAACTTCATCATCCTTCAAAATTGAGCTTGGGAAAACTGAGTGTGAGAAGAAATCTGCCTGGAGAAGATATCAAGATTTTCAGAAGTGGTTGTGGAAAGAATGCTATAATTCATCAGTTTTATGTGCAATGAAATATGGGATAAAGAGATGCAAACCTCAGATGGACATTTGTGATGCCTGCCTCAATCCTTATTTTGTTGAAGACTCCCATTGCAATTCCTGCCACCGGACTTTTCCCTCGAATACTGGATTTAATTTTTCTAAACATGCATTTCAGTGTCGTGATAAGTTATCCAAAGATAATTGTTTTTTGGAATATCCGCTTCCCTTGCGAACAAGATTGCTTAAGGTCCTGTTGGCTTTTATGGAGGTGAGTTGATGGTAACTCTGCTTTCACCTTCTATCAAAATTTAAAATGGTATTTTGTGCCCTCTGATAGTTTGACTTTTGAGGAGTATATTGTATTCACATGTTGATTTACAGGTATCTGTTCTATCTGAAGCATTTGGAACAAGTTGGACTGATGATATGAGGAAGCACTGGGGTGTAAAGTTGAGCAAATCATCTTCTGTTGAGGAACTTTTACAGGTTTTGCATGCCCTTTCAATTCTTAAAAGTTCTAGCCTCTATATCTCTGCATTACATGCCTGCTCAGACATAAATAAATTAAACAATCTATTTTGCAGATATTGACCCTATTTGAGAAAGCACTACGGCGAGATTTTCTGTCCTCGAACTTCTCTACAACAGATGAATTGTTGGGATTAAGCAGTATGTCAGAAAGCTCTGTGCAGGCTTCAACTGATCCTGAATCTGTTGCTGTGCTTCCATGGGTTCCACTAACCACTGCAGCTTTGTCTCTCAGGCTTTTTGAGATTGATTCATCCATCAGCTACGGAAAGTTTGAGGAACATGAGCCTTGTGAGGAGAAAGAAGCAAGAGAATACATAGTGAGTCTCATTTTTCCTTTATAGTAGAGTGCTTTTACTAGTCTTAAATAGCAGGGTTTGATGTTATCATAAGCAGTGCTGCAAGTTTCCATTTTTATCTGAAAATGCTGAGGCTGAGCTATTGCGCATCCAAAAGACTACAAGCAGATTAGATGTCAAGTTCCCCTTGAATTTATGTTCCTGTTTTCATATTTTGGACCGAATCTTTATTTGGAAAAATTTCTCATGATATTTATTAGGAACATTAATGCACCTAACTTGCTATTTGCAGAAGCTTCCATCGAGATATGCTCACACAAAATCTAATAGGGAGGTTGAACCAGCAGAATTTGACCATATTGAATTCACTAAAGATAAATCTGTTCATAAGAAAATTGTACGAAGTGGCAATAAACGGGGACGGGGGACTAATGAACAAGGTCGGGGTAAAAAGCTGGCTAAAAGAGTGTACAATTCCAAGCGAGATGGTGGACGCAAGAATGCTAAGGTCACTGACAATCTAAGTCACAAATTAAAACATCAGGCTCGAGGAACACAAGGACAAGGTGCTGGGCGAGGTCGTCGGACAGTAAGGAAACGGAGAGTGGGAAAGAGAGCTGTTGAAGATTTGTTGCTGGGTCATACGACAGCCAGTCATAGCTCCAAGATTGATAGGGAACCGTTGAGAAACTTAGATGAGGAATGGGATGGCGAAAAGGCAAGTCCCATGACTCCTGTACACATTGGGGTTGTTGACAATAGTAACAGTGCTGAAGAGGTGGAATCTGATGACGACAATGCTCAAGCTGTGGAATATGATCAAGGAAACTGGGAAGTAGGTTTTAATGGTGTTCCCCCCAACAGATGGAGTAGGGATTTGGTTGGAATGAGTGACGAAGATGTGGATGCTTTTGAAGATGATAATGATAATGAGAATGGCATCGAAGAGAATGAATTGGAGGATTCAGAGGCAGATGTTATGAGCGAGGGTTCAGATGGGATAGCAAATAGGGTAGTAAATGTTGGAGGGTCAGACTCGGCTTTGTCTGAAGATTCTTCTGATTAGAACATCCATTTTTAATCGCTCAATGAAGGGATTTGCACCTGAAGCTGCATTACATTTTTGATATTGCAGCTATACAAAATACATGAGCTCCAAGTCATGTCTTGACGAAGAGTTTATGGGTGAGTAGATTTAGTGTATATTATCCATGCAAAATGGAGCCTTGTATTTTTAAGCATCTTGAAGCAGAGGGCTTTGTAGCCAGCCTCATTTTGTTTTTGTATTTTTCTCCTCCTTGTAATAGAAGATACTCATTAATTAATAAAGTTTTATTATACCTTTTTGTCTGGACTAACTGGAACTGATAAATGTTTATTCGCTCGGAAACATGAAGGAATTAAAATCAAACCTCAAATATATCAATCAATTTAAGAGGTGCTTAACAGAGGAATTACCAGCATACTCTTCGCATTCATTTGTGCAAAAGTCTCATTTTCCTTGTTTAAATACATGCCCAAATTTAAACCCTCGTGTTAAATTGCTTATTGCTGTTACTCAACTGCACGCGGTCTGATTGCCTCCTCGTTCTACATTATGGTTGGGCCTTTTTAACACTTCTATGAAACTAACCATTTTCAGCTAAATAATGCATACTGAAACCACAACAATAAAGGTACTCTTTGTCACCCGTAGTTTTCAAAATAATATACCTCAGTCTAGTGATGTCGGGTTTTTTTTTTTGCGTGAATGACATTGTTAACGCATTACAGAAACTACACAAGTCACATCCATCTAAAAATGGAGGAAAAGGAAAGGGAAGAACGGGAACAAAACGAAAGGCTATTATTATACACTAGATAGTAGATACAGTCTGCAACGGTTGGCTCTCTTATGGTGCCACAAATTTCTTAACTTTGGCTTTCATGTCTGGCATCAACGATATCTGCAAATTTGATGTTAAATTTGATCCTAAGGTTACCCTTCTTTGAAGGATCTTTAGAAATTGGCATACCTTCTCCGGTGATCACTTCTTCATAATCTGGATCAGTCACATTGTTTATGGCAATGTTCAGATCCCTGCCATCTAGAGTTGTAAGTTGGATGGTGTAGCCTGTTAGAGCTTCAGCTTCTCTAAGTGATATCTTTTGTGTAACAACCAAATCATTACCATCTCTTGTAAACACACTGTGAGGTTTCTCATCAATAATAAACACAAGATCTGCAGCAATGACATTTGGCTGCTGATTTCCTTTCTCTGGGAAAGTGATTTTGGTTCCCTTTTTCCAGCCCGGATGGATTTCAATGTTTAAAATTTCCTCCACAGGAAAAGTTCTCCTGCAAATATAAATGTAGGGGAGAGATATTATATCAATATGGCTGCACTTACATAGGAAAGCAAAATAAGTGAAAGAACAAACTATTAGGCTTGATGCTTAGATACCTATGACTTGACTCATGTTAGAAAAAACCTACTAGGCTTGATGAGCCAAGCTTGTTTGTAAATAATATTATTTCCTAGTACACATATTAATATTTAACGTGCAATGTTAAATCTTTATTTTATCAACTAAAGCATTTTGTTTATGACTTATACGCGTATCGATCTCATTAAGGTCCAAGGATAGACCAATCGTCCTATTTAAAACTTAATATGAAATAGGCTTTTGATGTTTAGACAGACTAACAAGTCATGCCAGACTTATATAAAGGCCAGGTCAAAAGTCATGCCAAACAGAAATGATCTGCACATCAATCCTTATGATGACAACTTCATTGACCCAAAGAGCAGAGAGGACGAGGAGAAAAATTGGCAGATTGCTAAAATTTGTAGCATCAACTGACTATCCATGAAATATTAATATAAGGAGAAGGATATCCAACAAATCAAGAGATCTAACTAACAACTATCTAAAGTGTAGCAACACATTTTTTTACTTAAGACCAGGAATACAGAAACATAGCAAAATTTTAGTCGTAACAAACCCAACAACGGAACTCATTCTGTTCATGAAATTTAGTTATGGGAAGGTTTAAGTACAAATTGTTGAGAATTGAAATAGCAAGCAAAGAGCACTCACCCGCTTGCGAGTGTAACTTCCCTGGAGATTTTCATCTTTCTGGTAGTCCCCTTATAGAGCTCCTCAAGGCTGCAAAGTAATGCATTTTCAATGGAAGGTGCCTTGCGGCGTGGACCTTGATTCATGTGCCTGCCTTCTCCAAACATGTCATTGCCAAACATTCCACCAAAGGACCTTGACACCCATGTTCCACCCCTCATGCCTGTGCCTCTCCCACCACAGCCAAACCCCATTCCCGTTCCTCCAAATGGACTTGAACACCCAAACACCTCTGCAAATATGTTGTTTGCATTTCTGGGATTGAACCTAAACGCTGCTGGGCCATCCCCAGTTTGGAAGAATGAAGCAAAACCTGCATCCGGCGGTGACATTCCACCTTTAAGGCCACCTTCTCCATACTGATCATAAATTGCTCTCTTCTGAGGATCACTTAGAACCTGCATGAAATCAAACCAATATATACTACCAAGTCATATTCTATATTCATTTCACGGCTCACATAGCCCCACAAAGAAACATAGACATAGGGAGCAAGATGAATAATTGAAACAAAAATAGGATACCACAACCTAATACTGGTGTGTCGGTGCCTTGCGGATGATCAAGCAATAATCCCCGAATGCAGAAATAAAACAAATTAAGCAATAATCACACTGGGAAAAAAGTTGAATCATGGCAAGATCATCTTAGAAAAAAATGAAATGAAATTGGGGTTCTATAGACTATAGGCCTCCCAATAGCATCCTCAACATGAGGTCAAACTAGGAACAATATAACCAGTGTAGTTAAACAATGATCGAGGCTTAACAACAAGGGTAGAAGTTAAAATCAAGGCTTAATTAACCATGAACTGAAAGGAGAATCAATTCAACATCATGAACAAAGTGGGAAAACACAATCCACGAAGGCAGAGTGATGATGACCAAAATCAAACATAGGATCTAACATCCTTAGTACACCGACACACCAAATCAACGACAAAGATGTTACCTCGTAGGCTTCAGATATCTGTTTGAATTTAATCTCAGCCTCTTTCTTATTGTTTGGATTCTTATCAGGGTGCCATTTCATTGCAAGCTTTCTATAGGCTTTCTTCAATTCTTCATCTGTGGCATTCTTGTCAACCTCCAAAATCTCATAGTAGTCTATCCCCATATATTCACTACTCTTCTCTTTGCTCAAGCCTCAAGCTTTCGGTTCTGTGTTCAACCCTCTTGCTGATCAACAATTCTAAATTGGAAACTGTACAAAATTTTAATATAAGAAATTTAGTGTGTAACAAATTTCGTCTTTAACTGTTGATATATATATAATATACCAATTGAGATTAAGAATTGATTTTTATTTTTTATGATGAAAAGCATTTGACAATTTAAGTTGTTGAATTATATTTATATTTATTTGTATAATATATCTCCATGCGATGCACGAGGTGAAAAGATCTTATGAGACTTCGATTTACAATAATGTACACAGACTAAATAGATTGAATGAGACGGAATTGTGCATACGCGGCGCCGTATAAAAAAGAATCAGAAGGGTATAACTGTAATAAGGATTTTACCCACAGTGCACCTGCCAGCTCACCACTTGTGTTTGGATGATCACATTGGTAAAAGAAAATAAAATATACATTTTTTTACCCCAACGACACAATCTGGAATGTGGATAATGCCATCACCTCAAATGATTTACTTTTACTTTTATCAACTTTACTATTTAATTTCAAATAAAAATCAAGTAATCCGAGAAAAGCTAATGATCTGTTTGGGTACTGTCAAGGTTATAATAGCTTTCCTAAAAAACGTGATTTCCTCTCAACTCACTGCCCCGAAAACGACACTTAGTAATTCTTCTTATTTTTTTTAAATTTTAATAAAGAATATAATTCTTTTTCATTGAATTTCTCCTTATTTGAAAAAAGTAAAGGAAAAAATATTGAAAATTTAAATGGAAGAAAAGGTAAAATGAAAGCAAAGAGTTCTTATCTCTAGAAATCAATTTTCTAAGATTAAATGAAGGAAAATATATCATTTTTTTTTCTTTCTATTTTATTTTAATGCATCTTCATCACTTTCAGAGGACATTGGTTTCCCTACCAAACCTTTTGCTGACTGCCGCTTGTCTTACTAAGGTGAGACCGCTTCCCAATGTTTTTCTTATTTACCGATCAAATGTGGACATTGAGCAATGACGTTCATTATCAATTCGATGATCTTCATAATTCAAATCGAGTTAATTAAATTAATCTACTTTTTTATTAAATTTAATTCAAATTAAATCAATTAAACTTGATGTTAATTGATTTAAATATCAAATTTATATATTTAAAGTCTAAATCAATTAAAATTAAATTAATTGATTTATATATTTTTATTTAATTAATAATCAATATGTATGTTTTGTTTTTGTTATTTTAAAGATATTTTTGTGTTATTTTTTTAATAAAATATTTAACAAAATCAAGATGAACTATATTATAATATATTGTGTGCCATTTTTATATAATGTAGTGCATTTAAAATATTAATCAGTAGATTAAAAATATAAATTAAGAGGAACTATTCTGCATAGCTATCAATTTAGTTAATTTTTACAATATATCAATTTAATTAATATTAAAAAAATTTATTTACTTTGGTTTTTTTTTTAAATTATTGAATATTTGATGACATGAACCGAACCAATTCGATTAACATTAAATTGATTTGATTCGGATTAAACAAAAAAAATTATGAAATTTGAATTAATGAAATGAAGTTTCAAATAATTTTAAAATTTTTAAAAAAATTACAGCTTTGATCTGAACATTAAGAACTTTAAATTTAATAGTTAGATAGTTGAGATTTGATATAGAACATGAGTTATTGAACGGAGTAAATCTATGTAAACTTACTCATAAAATAAACGGATTCATTCTTATATATAAATAATATATAAATGGTATTTATGTGAATACAACAATGTTAATAATTACTTATTTTAAATGAATCTAGAAAAATGCTAATAATGCTTGTACAACTATATGTTGTGTGTCTAATTGTTAGATTTATGTTTAAGAGAAATTCATATGTTTTTAATGATCTTATGATATTCTAAAATAAATAGTTAGAAGAGAAAATACCTAACATAACTTTTAATGGGTGAAATCTTTTATATAAATAAATTTTGTTGACTTTTATTAAAACTTTTGATATAATTGGTTAAGTTTTTTTTAATAGTGTACGTAGAAATTAAAAGCTACATTATTTTTTTAATTATAAACTAGTATATTTAATAAGTTTATTATTTTTGTAATAACTATTTTAAGAAGTGTAATCTATTCAAATTTCAGTATATTATTCTATATTTTTTAAATTTATGATAACTTTTTTCTATACATATATTTATAGAAACTTTTATTAGAGGATATTTGGTATGTAATTTCACTTCGTATTTGATAATTATGGAAGTGCATCTTTTATTTATCATTTTTATATATAAAAAATAATTTATATTATTATTATTAGAGAATGTAATAATTTAAAAATAATTAAAAAAATTAGTGTAATGTATAGAAGATGTAAGTATAATATTGACTTTATTAATTTAATATAGAAATTTTCTTAATTTTTTTTTGAAATAGGTAATTTTTAAAAAAATCAAAATAGGATAAGCTGTCTTTATGAACACAATTTATAAAGTAAAAATCATGTTTCATATACACGATTCATATCATTTATTTTTCCTTTTAAACAATTAAAGTGATGTTTTAAAACACGATATTTAAAAAAAAAAAAACTGTAAAAATGATATATTATTTTAACGTAAAAAGAAAACTATGAAGAAATGGTGTGCATAAACACAACTTTATTTTTTGAAAAATTATATTAAGAAAATGAAAGTTGTATTTATAAACACAACTTTTGCATAAATAATACATATATAAGAAAACAACTTACAACGCTAGCAACTTAACATTACTATCACCATCAAATAGTTCAACATACAACACACAACACATGCAATTTAGCATCATTGTCATCATTTTTATCAACTTGTTCACCATACAACACATGATACTAAAACAACACATAAATATAAAAGCAACCTGCAACACAACATCACTACCAACAATAACAGCTTATTCATTAGGCAACACACAATACATAAACAACACACATCTCATCAACACATTCACAACATATCAATACATGCAACTAATCAACACATATGCGTCGTCACGTATTTCAACTCGAAGATCTCTATCAACACAGGGTGAGTAGTCTAAGTGGCTAGGTCCTACCGAACTGACAACATAAAACCTTTTTGGGTTTGCTAGGTAAACAACAAATTTGGATAAAAATTCACAACACGAGAACGATTTCTCTGACTTTGCCACTTAAACAAAGAAGTATAGTACTATGTTAGGATATGACATTTGGATTTAGGCCTACCACTGCATTAACTAGCTCAACTAAGCCACCTACTGACTTTCCTCAAATACTACAACCCTCCGATACTTGGTTAAAAACTAAGTTATCGACTTTGTACTTTACTCGAATTAGCCGCTTGTAATCAATATAACTCGACCTGACCCCTATACCGTGTCGCTTTATACACGTGTGCCTCGATCTTGCCCACACAAGGGACCAACTAAGTCTTAGAGGAGAACAACACATCGTTCACTCTAAGGGATAACTTCCCAATGAGGGTTTTCAACAAATTGAGCTTTTAGAGCACCACAACTATCTCAATCCACGCAATGAGATGAGCAACTTCGAAAACATCTCCCCTAGTCCTAGTGATCAACAACTTATCATCACAGCACAACAACATAGTTATCATCTCATCAGCTTAACTATTAACTCATTTCAAGTTTAAACAACACAATTATCATCTCATAAACTCAACTATCAACTCATTTCAACTTTAAACAACACAGTCAACTCAATAGCTCAATAACTCAACTCACAATTTACAGCTCAACTATCACAAAGTAATATCTTTTCAACACACAATACAACATACAACTTTATAACAACATACAACTCTCATCTAACAACTTAGCAACACAGTCTACTAATAAATTATGTATCATCTCAACAAATCTACACACTTCACATCATGCTTCTCACAACTCAAAATTATCATCATGCACTTCACAAATCTCAACTAGATCATCTCATAATATTTCACAACATATAAATAGTCAATACACAACTTGTAAACAACTTCAAAAACATATCACATATTCAACACATTTTTATTTAGCACAATAACTCACTCAACACGTAACTCTTCAACTCATTTAACACCTCTACACAACTACACAACTTCATAGCTTAACTACAACATGTATCTCACATCTCACTACTAAGTATCCTCATCATGCTACACAACATCATATTTCAACAAAAAACACATCAACCTATGGTATGCAATCATCTCTAACCACTTACAACATTCACAACACATAATATAGCTATTCATACATCTCGTTTACATCATATCTTCATCATAAAAGCATCACCAACAACATCATTAATCAATATTTTATCATTTATTATCAAAACATAACATTTTCATCATATAATACAACTCATAGTCCATGTTTACAACCCATCTATCATGCCAACTTACACACACAAACAACATCAATCAACCTAAGCACCCAAAACAACTTTCAACTTAACTAAATCACTTATTGTGAAATGGTAGTCTTCACATAAAATAACATATATGAAGTTATAATACCCCTATCATTCTCATCCTTATCTTATATGAAAGATAAGAAGATTTACTACAACTCTCATGAATACACCAAGTCCTAATTCCATCATCTACCTTGTTAAAAATTATAAAATCTACAACACTTGGCCTAAATCCTGATAGCTTGACCTTTGCTCACTCAAAAGGTCATAACTGGAGTTCTAGCCCTCCTTTTTGGGCGATTCCAACTCCATTGGAAAGCTAACATCCAAGGATACAACTTTTATGAAGATCTCAAGACCAAATTCGATCATCTACCCTCATTGTTGCAGTGCTCAAATCAGCGTTTTAGCGTTGAATTTCTGTCAGCTCAGTTTCCTTCCCACGACTATGGCCATGAACCACGACCATGGCTGTAGGTCTTTGCCACTTCATTTTTACCTCACAACTATGACCATGAACCACGACTATGGCTGCAGGTCTCTACCACTACAATTTTTACTTCATGGCTATGGCCATGAACCACGGCCATGGCTACAAGTCTTTGTCACTTCATTGCCATGGCTATGAACCATGGCCATGAACCACGACCATAGTTGCAAGTCTCAACTACTTCATTTTTCCCCATGGCCATGGTCATGAACCACGACCATGACTGCAAATCTCAGAATTTTCTACAATTCCATGGATTTCACCTTCGATCCTCTCCTTATCTTCACCAATCTCCCCCCTAAACATGATCTACACCCATGATTACTACTACACTTGTTCAAGCAACCCAGAAACCATGAAAATTTTGACATGCATGCATCAAACTCCATGATCACCCATTTTACCCAACTCATTGAAGAACACCACAGTCCCAACAACATGAAATCCACCTAACTCAACTACTCAGCCACCAAATCACATCCTAGATGATGATCCAACTACATGGAACCCAAAATGTACAACAAATTCGAGTTTTAGCTTCCTTTACCTTGAAACAGAGTGAATGATAAACTCCGAACTACTCCGAGGTTGAAAAAGAAGAAGAAGAAGAAGATGGAACGAAAATCTGACTCCGGGCTTCAAAGCTCCCTAGCACACAAATTACTCGACAACCTTGAGAATCAACAAAAAAAAATAAATGAGATTTGAGAAAAGGAAATGGGAAAAAAGAGAGGAAAGAAGGCTTGTGATCTTACAAGTAATTTTCATATATTTTAAAATTACTAAAATTTATAATTTGTTGTCTAATATAGTTCTCTTAGACAAAATTTTAGATTTTTGTCTAATGTATTAAAAAAATTCTCTTAAAAGTAATCACTCTTTTATTAATCACAGATAAAGTTAATAAATATTTAGGAGATTCACGTGTGAACAGTGCATGAAAAAAGTGGCGTATCACAAATTTCTTGGCTCCTGGGATCGGAAAGGCAAAGTGCTTTTAAAAGTTGAGAGTTGAGACATGAGAGTTGAGAGCCAATGCTACTAACATTTACATTTACATTACACACTCATTCGTAAATGTCATGACACTAAGCTAACTCCCCAAAATGCAAACTATTTCGTTCCCTCTCTTCGCTCCACACATCTCCATTCCCTGCGCCACCGCTCGCCGGACCGTTTCTTTCCGACCTTCCGCCACCGAATCCACATCCTCCATCGCCGTCGACAACTCCCACGCACCCGACTCCACCGCCTTCGTGATCCGCGCCCGCAACCGGATCGGCCTCCTCCAGGTCATCACCAGGGTTTTCAAGGTCCTCGGCCTCAGCATCGACCGCGCCACCGTCCAATTCGACGGAGACTTCTTCGTCAAGAGCTTCTTCGTCACCGATTCGCATGGCAACAAAATCGAGGACTCCGAGAGCCTCGAGAGGATCCAGCGGGCGTTGGGGGAGGCGCTCGGCGCCGGCGCCGGCGACGGGACGGTCTCGGCGGCGAGCCGAGGGATTGTGGTGAGAAGGCCTGGGCTGGTGGGGGAGCGTGGTGCAAAAGCGGAGAGGATGTTTAGCTTAATGGACGGGTTTCTGAAGAACGACCCTCTCAGTCTTCAAAAGGATATTCTTAATCATGTTGAGTACACCGTCGCCAGGTCGCGCTTTAGTTTTGATGATTTTGAAGCGTATCAGGTATGCGCTACGCTGCCTTTCAACTTCATTGCTTTCTTTCGATTTAGCGATTGTCTCTGCTGCATGTTGTCTGTGCTTCAAGTTTGGATAGGGGTGTAGGAAAACAAAAATTATATTTGTTCAATTTATTAGATAGATATGAACAGAACAAGTTAAGCGTGAGTCGTGAGATAAGCTTTTTTTGTATGAGATCACAATCACATGTAACTTATGCAACTCTGCCGAGTTAGCTAATTTTGGGTGGAAAAGTTCTGCTTTCCGAAAATGGCAGCTGGATGGATATTCTGGGCTGGAAGATAAAACATTAAATAAGATGTATAATGTGACAGGGAGAAGAAATAATAATATTATAGAAAAGTGGTATAATGAATAATATAATTTTAGATTGAAAAGGTATTGCATTGTCAATGAGTAAAATTAAACGTCATAAAAAATGTAGGAAAGGTTTGAGGTACTCCACGATTTTGGAAAACTTCATTTTAGGACAAGTTTTTGAAACGCCGTTAATCATGGTAACCTGTTTCAATTAACTAATAACTATGGTGGTTAACGATTATTTAATCATACTTCAACAGTTTATTTATGCGTGAGTAGTGAAGTAAAATTAAAGGTTTAATATATCAGCAGGTTCTTAACTTTTTTTTTTTTTTTTAATTATTTTTTTATCTAAGTTCTTAAATTAAAAAAAATTGTAATTGGGTTTTTGATTTTTTACGTTTATTGTAATTAGATCCATGCAGTTAGTAAAATCACTACAAATTGTTATTTTTAATTTATGGCGTTTCAAGCCATCATAAACTAATTGTCTAATTCCAGCAACCCAATTACAAAATTGTCAAAGATTGAGGATCCAATTATAAATTTTTAGTTAAAAAACCTAATTAACATTTTCCAAAAAGTTTAGGGCCTACATATTAAACTATAAATAAAAGATTTTAATTTGAAATTATGATGGGGATACATTGATGACATCAAATATTATATCTATGGATAAAAATGTTTTACTTTCCTTTTTGGTAAACAAAATTCCCCCTTTTAATTCCTCAATCATTACCTTAGGGCAAGGAAATGTTTAGCAAAACCTTTTTTACTTATTGAATTTAGAAGTCCATGGTGTTTGAAATTTCACTAAAATCCTCTTTAGGAATCCTAAGGGAAACTAGCACTTTACCATGAATTAGAGCATTTATAGGATCCTTTCCTTAGTTGAAAGTATTTACTTGGATTATTTCATACTTGCATTTTAAAGTAATTATAAGTATTTAATATGATATATAAAAAACATTTATTATATAAAAAATACACGAAGATCATTTCATACTTGATTTTTAAAGTAATTATAACTAGTATTTAATATGATATATTAAATTCTCTTTAACCAGTTCATTGGATCCTTCCCTTAGTTGAAGAATGTTGAGAGGATGAGTGGGTGTCAAGGTAATTTTGATGATAGATGTGTCATTACGATATTCTTATAGGAGTTTTTGTATTGACAATGAACAGTTGAAGCTTTGAAGGAATACACGGCATGTTGTTATTCATGCTTGCATTTTGTACAAAGAACTTTGCTGTAGAGGAACTTAGTCTTCAAATAAGGAAAGTTAAAGCTTATTTCACTAAATTTTATTTGTTTGGCATCTTGAGATTGCAACCTTGTAGGTTATAAAAGGCATCAAATAATATATTAAAGTGTGTTTGGCCGTCTGCAAGTCATATTTATAATGGCTATCATCAAAAAATTGATTTTGCGTGATGGTATTTGTAGGCTTTGTCACACAGCGTAAGAGATCGGTTGATTGAACGCTGGCATGATACTCACATTTATTTCAAGAGAACAAAACCTAAGCGCCTCTACTTCCTTTCACTTGAGTTTCTTATGGGTAAAAGTGATGCCCTAAAATCTGTTTGACACTTCACACTTTAGCCCTTATTTCCTATTTATTTCTTTCACCGTCTTAGTTTATATTTTTTGTGAGTATTTACCAGTTCCAGTTATAAGTGTCGTTATTTATCTATGATTAAGAATATATTAAACTTTCTCTTGGACAGTGTCTCCTGTTTAGGGGCTTTACACTTAATAACTAGGATTTGATTTGTATATTTTCTGACTTATTTTCCTTTCCTAGTTTCCTTAAATTAGTGAATGTCAATCATGCTTTATTACTCAATCATGCTGAGGATTTCCTCATGCAATTCAAAAATATTTCTCCCTTTTCAAGTCTTTCTTTTTTGTTAATTTTTAAATTATTAATTAATTTTGAAATTCTATGTAACCAAATAAACTTATAGATTACAGCTGATATTCACCAGTAACGGTTAGAGCAGCAGTAAACAAGCCACATGAGTGGGTGGGCCAAATTTTAGATCTTTTGGAAGGCTTATTTTTGAAGGGGCTTCTAGTTGCAACAGTGCCCAAGTGGTTAGTCTCACAGTTTGCCAGTGGGGATACCCTACTCAGTAACCAGAAAGAGAAGAAAGAATATAACAAATATTTTCTAGTTTGAAAGAAAAGCAAATGCATGAACCAATGTCAGTTTAGTTCTAATGATGGTGATGCTATTGTTAACATTTTAAACATTTTTATGTTAAATGGTTCTTTCATATACTCTCTATGGACTTGATTATAAGCAAAATTAACTAACTTGTGCATTAACTAAAAAAGTTAGTCAACATTTAATTTTGTTAATCTCAATTAAAAATAATTTATTCTCCTATACTACTGACTCACATTGAAACTTGATATTAAGAATAAAAAAATTGTCATTGGAAATAAAATCTCAATTAAATGAAGGTTTTTTTTGGGGATTATAATATTAAATAGGATAAAATTAATTAATATTTGCTTACATTAAGATTCACTATACACAATTTTTTTTTTTTTTTTGCTTATACCTTGGACTCTCCAACTACAACAACTAGCTTTTGTGGATTGTTTTATCCAACATTTTTATCAATTGGTATAAAAGCCTTCCATCATGTCTCTTAGCTGCAAATGAGAAGTGTTGTTCAAGATTATTCAAAGGGCTAGTGTACAGCTAGCTCGCATGGGTGCTAACATTATAGTGTGGTGGGATGTTAAGATCCAATTGCTAGATGAGACTTGAGTCTCACTTTAAAAGTATGAAATTCTAATGTAGGGTTTATAAGACCATGGACTCTCCAACTACAACAACTAGCTTTTGTGGTGTGGTTGTCCCAAGGTTTTTGTCCTAAACTATGGTGTAAATACGTCTAAGCAAGTAATGGGATGTTTGATCTTTGTCACATTTCAGGAAAGTAATTATCATTGTAATTGACTTTAATGTGATGGTGTGTTAGAATTTTTGACTAATAGTGTATTATATGACATTTGGATTTTTCCAATTATGCTATACTATAAAAATAAGATTTTTTAATTATATATTTCTGTATATTATGTTGTGGTCTGATAAAAGTATCTATACATTTTAGTACACTGGTCGTTTAAATATGAAGGAAACTAAAGAAGTCCAAAAAATTCTTCTAAGATTTAGGTCATAGCAAAGTCAAACAATTAAATAATTTGATGCTGAACTGTTTCGTTCATCTGATGAATGGTTAATCAATGGTTGTGCTTGTGAAAATGTACAACTGCTGCTGTTCTTGTATCCAATTCTTAGGAACACATGTTTTCTAAATATCAGGTCGTTCCCTGTCAAATAGTGTTATCAATCTTGGCATCCAGGATCAATATGCAGAGGCCCTAAGCCAACTTGGATTTGAGTTTGAAGTTTTGGCAGAGCAGGTGTTATTATTGTTTAATTTAATTATTTTACATTTTCCAGTATACTGTTGTAGATTTATTATTTCAGAGTGAACATTCAATGTGGTTATATTTATCCCTTAATATACATGTATGTGACATCCCTGACAAGGAAGGAGATGCAGCCTTAGGGAATGGTGGCCTTGCTCGTCTTTCAGCATGCCAAATGGATTCTTTAGCAACTTTGGATTATCCTGCATGGGGGTATGGTCACGGTGTGACTTTCTGAGTTGTTGTAAATTTTTTTCTAGCAGGTCTGAAACAATAATATTTTCACCATAATGTTTTCAGTTGTTTTAATTAATTTTCTAAACGTAGATATAGGCTGTGTGAGCTATGAAGTTGGCCTTAAAAGCTTGGACATCTATTACTTAGGTTTTTGGTCACATTTAGTTGTTATGATGCCCCAAAGTTTTTCCAAGTCAACAATGTTTACATTGTGTGTACGTATGGTGCTATTTGTCAAATAAGAATAACACTGTCAGTGTCTCAACAGCTTAGTTTCTAAATCATAGTTCACCTTCTGAGTGTCTTGTCCTAAAACTCTATGAATTTGGAAGTTCTTCTATTTATTGTCAACAATGCTTATTACCAGTTTCTGTACAAATTGTATCTCTGAAACCTTCAGTACCATACAGGACAGGAATACATCCTATTTGTCAGTTAATTTTTCAAAACAAATATGCCTCTTATCTAAAGACAGGGTGCTGTCAGCTGAGTTTGTGAGCTTGATCTTCACTTTGCAGTTATGGGCTGCGTTATGAATATGGATTATTTCGCCAGGTCATAGTAGATGGCTTTCAACATGAGCAACCTGATTATTGGCTGAACTTTGGAAACCCTTGGGAGATAGAGCGGATTCATGTAACATATGAAGTGAAGGTTTGCCCAGCTTCCATCTGTTATGCCTTTTGAGTCATTTATGGTTTCTGTTCATATTATTACCTTTATTTCACTTTATCACCTAAAACTACAAGCTGACTGCATCTCTATATTTTACTCCATGGATTAGTTCTATGGGACTGTTGAAGAGGTTGATATGAAAGGAGAAAAACATAAAGTTTGGGTCCCTGGAGAGACGGTAAGAATGGTATTTTTAATTTGGTTTGCAATGTTACTTTTTTCAGTAACATATTTTCAAATAATTATAGATGTATGCCTACTGCTACCTGTGTTGCATTTCTTTTAGACTTGTGGAGTGTGCATAATGTTGATGAGGAACTTGTTCTTCCTGAATTACAGGTAGAAGCTGTGGCTTATGACAACCCAATACCTGGTTATGGGACAAGAAATACCATCAACCTTCGACTATGGGCTGCTAAACCTAGTAATCAATTTGATTTGGTAATTCCTTTCTTAAGAATAAGCATCTGCTCCAAATTTGGGAATAAAGTATTGGCATGATGGTATCATAATATAGGTTTAAGTAAATAAAAAATAACTAACTTTAATTATGTGGCTTTTACAATAAATTATTTTATATAGGTCATTAATTGTATGGTCATACCTTTCCTGAGAGTGAACTTTGCTTAGAATCAGATGAGAAGTGGCCTGCTGTAGTCCATTATTTGCAGTTTAGATTGGCTTATCTCTTTCTTTATTTGGCCTAGGGTGAGCTATTGAACCCTTTGTTTGCCTATTGGTTTTTGTAGGAGGCCTATAACACTGGAGACTACATTAATTCTGTTGTTAACAGACAAAGGGCTGAAACCATAAGTAATGTTTTGTACCCTGATGACCGTTCTCATCAGGTATGCCTTCATTATTATTTTTAAATTATGATGTAGTTGTTGGCTTGTTGCTATTATCTGTTGAGAACTTGTACTTTTCTATGAGCTTTGTCTCTGTTGTTTATAATGAAAGCTAATAACACAATATGTTTGGCTGTGAATTTATGATTGTAAGAACAAGAGACTCCCATATTGCTTTCATTTAAGATTACTTACTGTAGTTTCATTTTTTCTATTAGAGATATAGCTACATTTACTTTTCTGTTTCTTTGTAATTTGTATTACATTTCTTCTGTTAGATTAGTCATAGGTTAGTTACTTTTGATGACTCAGCTCTGAGTCGTCCTGACAGCTATATATAGCGGGTTCTCTTGTATTCAGAATAATCAATGAACCATTTCTTCAGTCATATCTATCTTTTCCTTTTGATTCTCTCTTTCTCTGTGATTTCTATTTTATCTAATAGTTTCCTCACTGTATTAGATAATTTATGTATAAAGCTTTGTGTAGTTAATGGAGTCTTATATTCCTTTAGTGTCTTTTGCTGTTGTTTTAAAAGGATATTTTCTTTTTGAAAATTCTGTTTTTTTTTTACTGACTCGGCATAGTTGTTTATAGAATTGATTATCTGCCAAAAATTATGGGTGAAGGCTCAGTAAAGGAACTTGGTGCTAATTGTTGAATGAACACTTTTTTATTATCTTCTGCTTTTGTTCTCAAAGTTTTCCTTTGTCAATGTGTGGTTCTGTGCATTACTTTAATGTTAATATTCCATGCATTCTATTCTAGTTTGTTTTAGTTGCCTCCCATGCAATATTATTTGCCACATTTGGCATAACAGTTGGTAGAAACATCACATTAGGATACGGTTACTTGAATTTTTCATGAATATGATGAATATTCAATCCCTCTTGTCACATTACCAATTTGAGTTGCCTCTTGTCACATGAATAGGATGAAGAGTATTCAATCCCTCTTGTCACATCCTAATGTGTGGTTCTGTGCATTACTTTAATGTTAAGATTCCATGCATTCTATTTTAGTTTGTTTTAGTTGCCTCCCATGCAATATTGTTTGCCACATTTGGCACAACAGTTGATAGAAACATCACATTAGGATGTTTATATGGTTACTTGAATTTTTCACGAATAGCATGAAGAGTATTCAATCCCTCTTGTCACGTTACCAATTTTGAGTTTTTTCTTTCTTTCCTTTTTTCAGGGGAAGGAGCTGAGATTGAAACAACAGTATTTCTTTGTTTCAGCATCTTTACAAGATATCATCCGTAGGTTCAAAGAAGCACATAGTAACTTTGATGAGTTGCCAGATAAGGTTCATTGTTAAATATTTTGTACTTGCACATTTGGTTGTTAATTGGTATGGTGATTACTAACACTGTTTCAAAACTATATAGCATTCAATAATATGTAATTTATATATTTTTAAGGGAAGGTTCTGAAATTCGCTTGACCATTCAAAGTTCCAGGTTATCCCATGGTCATTCCTAAATGTCACCATTCATTTATTTTTTATTTTTTTTGTAGTGATTCTATTCCATTAGGATTCAGGGAGTTTTCAGGTTATCCCATGCTAGACATGGGTTCTACTGAGTTTTCATGGAGAGAAACAAGAAAAACAGAGAAAGGAAAGGAAAAAGAATGCTTTGACTGTGTCCAATGTTTACTGAATTACAAAGAACCTAAGGAGAAGATTCTCCTTCAAAGGGCTTCCCCTTCATAAATGGTTTCTCCTTGATACAACAGAGCTAATGCTCAATTTCCCACATGATAACAAAACAGAATTCCCACTCTTCTACACTATCCTACTATTCAAAGCTAATTCCCTATCTTGAAAACTTTAACTGTCTAACTATCCTAGCTAACCACTCTCCAGCCCTCTCAGATTTCTATCTGTTGATTCAGTATATGTGAAAGTGGATATTATGAGTTAAATTATTGTATGCATTAGCTGATCACTAGTGAGCAGTGACATAATTGTGTTCTCACTACTGTCTTGCAACTTAAGGTTTTCCTTTCCTATAATTAGGTTGCTCTCCATCTAAATGACACCCATCCATCTCTTTCAATTGCTGAAATTATGCGAATATTGATTGATGAAGAACATCTCAGCTGGAATAAAGCATGGGATCTTGTATGCAAAGTTTTCTCTTTTACAACTCACACAGTGGTAGCTGAAGGACTAGAGAAAATCCCTGTTGATCTGCTTGGTAGCCTTCTCCCTCGTCATTTACAAGTATGTTCATCAAGACACGCTTTCGGAGTTTCTGTATTTTATGTAGTGTTTTACCTTACATATGTATTTCACCAGCAAATTCAATATCAGCAAACAGATATGTTTGATCCTTATTTTACTTTTTATGTTTTGCTAAAGCATGGGAACATTTGACTGCATGGTCCACTAATTTTTCTAGGCAATTTTCCATGTTAAACCATAAATTTCAGTAATTCAGGATGAAAATGTTGATGAATCTATATTGTTCTTTGTTCTAAAAAATGTACTTCCTTTTTTTCCTTAATTTTTTTATTACAATATTATTATGTTTACCAAATATTTCAAATTCCGTTTTCAGATTTTATATGAAATAAATTTTAATTTTATGGAGGAGTTGAAGAAAAGGATTGGTTTAGATTACAACCGGTCGTCTCGGATGTCAATTGTTGAAGAAGGTGCTGTGAAGGTATTCTAGAATAATTTGTCAATGCTTAATCTGGTAATTTTGGTAGGCTACAATTTCTTTTTGCATTTGCTTATTTATTTTATTACTAATTTACTACGAATATTGCAAGTTATGCAATTTGACTATCAGATAATGTCTAGTGTTACATATATTAATTCTTAAGACAAAGACTTACTGAATTGAGAGGCTCTAATATCTAAAGGAAAAAATATGCACTTAATGTTTGAGCTATTAGAAATCGGATAATTTACATCATAAGTCATAATCATATTAGATGCCAATTTACCATATATTTCCATGGATCAGTGGTGGCTTCAATACCACAGCAGGTTCCCTCATAGTTCAGTCAGGTTTGGCAACTCACTAACACTGCATTGGCAGCAGCATTCCATTTGAAAGTTTGGCAAACAACTAGCGGATACTATTAAGTTTCTAGAGAAACCCAGAGAAGCTGAGTATAAAATTTAGGATAATTTTTTTTTAAATTGTGTTGGTCCAGTCAAATCCAGTGGTTCAGTTACATAGATGATATTTATACAAAGATTATCCTAACTAATACAACTAACTAGTTCAGGAGTTACAGCTAAAATGAAACTGAACATACTGTTGGCAGCTGTGTGTGACTGTGATACTACAGGGTGAGTAATTATACTCGCACCCCCTCCCAAAACAAGCTCAAGGTGGGTGAGCTGTAGAACTGGGCTCAAACACTTCGAGCCTGGACTTGAGATGAAAAAATCTAGGAGAGGCTTGGTGAGAGTCAGCCCATTGATCCTGAGCACAAATGCTCAGAATTGTCAGTTATTTTTTTATGACCTTTTCTCTGACAAAATAAATCAATCTCCATGTGTTGTGTGAGCATGAAGAACAGGATTGTGAGCCAATGAAACAAGTTTTTGGTTGTCACAAAAGACCATGGGAGTAGTGTAGGAAACACCCAGTTCTGTCAACAGTGTCTGAATCCACAACAAATCTGCACTAACTTGGAATAGGCAGCGATATTCAGCCTTAGTGCTGGATCAGACAACTTGCTGCTTCTGGCACCACCAAAAAATAAGGGTTGAACCAAAATAGATGGCTGCTCCTAATGTGAACCAGCAGTCATCAGGGTCAGCTTCCTAATCAGCATCACAAAATGCCTTTAATGGCAAGGGCAGATGTCAAGATGCTGGAGAAAACTGTAAACCACACTGTAAGGACCCCTTTAAATACCTTGGAATCCATTTAACTGCAATCCGATGCGAGTGTAAATTGGAAAACCTTGTTGACTACAAAACATATCTCAGGTCTAGCGATTGTCACATATTCCAGTCCATGAACCACTGACCTGTACGGAGATGGATTGGGCAGTAGATCAGAACCAAAATTTGACAATTTACAACTAGATGTCATGGGAGAGGAAATAGACTTGGCCTCAAGCATATTGGTTTGGCTCAAAAGGTCCCCGATATAGGATCTATTTGGATAAGCTTCTATAGAAGCATTTCTAGGAGAGAAAAATAGGGAGGGAAATCAAAATATCTTCTTCATAAGCTAAAACTAATTTATGCATGAGTTAAAAAGAATATTTTGGAGAAGCTATAGGAGAGAACTTCTCTGAAAAAATAGCTTATGCATAAGCTATTTTTAACCTATGGAGAAATTTATTTCTTTTTTCTTTTTTCTTTTTCATAACTTCGTGTTTCTAGAGAAGTTTACCCAAATAGGTCCATACATGCTTTGAGTGAGCAAGAGGGTGCCGTCAGGTTGCTTGAGTTCAATCAGAAAATAATCAAGATCACCCAACTGTTTGAGACTAAAATGATAAGGAAATATGGTAATCAATCATGAGAGATAACAAGGAAATAAGGAGACTAATTATAGAGGATAATCTAAGATTGTTCTATTATAAGATATTTTCAATTTTCATATATTCTAATAGGTATCTTTAAGTAGATTGTTACCTCCCTTATCCATTCAACCTTGGTTGTCTTCACTTTCTTTATGCATTTTCAGTTAGTAGCATTTCTTACCTTGAGGCGTTCTGTTCTGTTCTTCCCCTCTTGTCACTCGAAAATTTGGGTTCATTAGCTAGTCACACAGCCTTAATGCTCGATTCATACCACACCTAAAAAAATTTCATATTTATAAAATTCCTGAATGCACATAAAATTTAGATTCAATTCATATTTAGGCATTGAGTTAAAATAACTGCTGTGTAGGCTCCCTGATTTAGATGGCATACAAATGAAGGGCATCTGTGAGAAATATGTGAATTAGGAGAGGAGTTGTGATTCACAATAATACAAAATACAAATTAGAGAAGTCTTTTTTTCCCTTTTAGTTATTGCATTAGCTATCTTCTAAGCTCAACATCAGATGTATGCTTCTGTATTCTTATGCACTATGGGATAGTAGTTCAGGCATATTGAAGCAATGTTTCCAAATTCTAAGTGTCTGTGTAATGTTTGTATTGTATAATTACATCATAAATAGTTTTTGGTGATTATGTATTGTATTTGCAGAACATTCGAATGGCCAACTTGTCAATTGTTTGCTCCCATACTGTGAATGGTGTTTCAAAATTACATTTAGATACGCTAAAAATGAGAACATTTAAGGTATGAATTAATCATGCCAAATCACTTTACGGTCCTTCCTTATAATCTTGGCTGATTGTGAAATCATAAACCAATAAATTAATGGTTCAAATTTGCAGGACTTCTATGAGCTATGGCCTGAAAAATTTCAATTCAAGACAAATGGTGTAACCCAGGTACAAAATTAGTTACTATTATAGTATATATGTAATGAAGTTGTTGCTCTCCTGCTATGTTTATATATGAGTGGCTTAGGCTTGAATTGGCTCGTATTTGTTGGAAGAGCTATCTTTCATATATAGAATTTTTGTTTGTGACTAGTATAAAGTCTGTAGTCGATACTCAATAGAAATACACATAGAAATTTGTTACCTCCTTGTACGTACCATGCTGAGAGACTTGTATCTTGATTACATCTTAAATAGTGCTAGCCATTAACCATATAAGTTTAAGATGCTTCTTTTACAATTAGTTGTGCATATTTCTCTTAAAATTAAACTTTGTTTGTGGTATTTGACAATTGCAGCTATTGTTCATTAGAAAAAATGTGACTGTGTGTGCACTGTGCAACAACTAATAACCCAGTGAATTGATATTTGTCAGCGTCGGTGGATTGTGGTGAGCAATCCCAGTTTATGTGCTCTTATATCAAAATGGCTAGGAACTGAAGCTTGGGTACGTAATGCTGACCTTCTGACAGGGTTGAGAGATCATGTTGACAATATTGATTTCCATCAAGAATGGAAAATGGTAACTTTCCAAGTTTTATTCATTTTTCATAGAATTTCTTTAAATTAGGAGAAACTAAATATGGTCTGCTCTGATATGGCTTTCTGTCCTTTTGACATTGTAGGTTAAAAAGGTCAATAAAATGAGGCTTGCTGAGTACATTGAAGCAATGAGTGGTGTGAAGGTTTAAGTGAAATAATTTTACCTGAACTTTTCTTCTCTTTTTCATTAAGACCATAAAATTCATTTTTCCTATATTATTCTTAATTGCAGGTCAGTTTGGATGCAATGTTTGATGTTCAGGTGAAGCGAATACATGAATACAAAAGACAATTGCTTAATATACTTGGAATAATCCATAGATATGATTGTATCAAGGTAAATGTGTGTTCCTCGCTGTTTCTTTTTGAAATGTAAATTGTTCTTTCACTAATTATTGTTCTCTTTCATCTTTCTGTCTACTTGAGCAAGCAATTTTTTTGCTTAGATCCTAGAATCTGATATCCCCCTCAGTTATGGATTCGTAATCACTTGCATACGTACTGATCATCACTTTCCACGTGGAGTTATACTGAGGCATCAACTATTATTTTGCATTTATTTCTTGCAGAACATGGACAAGAATGATAGGAGGAAAGTTGTACCCCGTGTTTGCATAATTGGTGGGAAAGCAGCTCCTGGTTATGAAATGGCAAAGAAGATTATCAAACTTTGTCATGCTGTGGCAGAAAAAATCAATAATGACACTGATATTGGAGATCTTCTGAAATTGGTAACTTTGTCATTTGTCATCCCTGTTCTTTCTTTTTGTTAGCATTTCTGACTGTGGTACAACTCAGGATGGACCTGTTAAGTGTATTGTATTTGTTTTGGCATGTCTCTTTTTAATCCAGTCTCTGTTATTCTGTAGGTTTTTATTCCTGATTATAATGTTTCTGTTGCTGAATTGGTAATACCAGGGGCCGACCTTTCTCAACATTTAAGGTTTGGTGATTTAATGTTCTTTATAGTGCCCATTTTAATGTTCATTGATGTTATTAACGAGTAGCATATTAGTCTTTTGCCTCATTTTTCTCATCTTGCTTTATATTTTCCATGCTCATAATAATCAAGAAAAAGTAGAAAGTTACAAGTAAAAGAGATATGGAGAATGGTGTTGGACCAATGTGGTGAAAGGCTAATATATAACTGGAATAGCTATGGTGAAAGACACATCTATTGAAAGAGTTCAAGTTAAGTTACAACAGTTGTATTGCAGTCAGTTTGAGCTAGAAACTGTATAGTCCACCCACTGTTTCAAGACTAGACACAATATTTATATTCCCTGTGATTTTTAGTCTTCTTGGGCTGCATTTGATGTATATTACTAGACAACATGGGCAAAAGCAGAACAACATATTTCAAGAAGTTGATTCAGCACTATTTTTTTTTTCCTGGTCTGTTCTTTGGTTCTTGATACTCTGCATAAGCAATTTTAGAGGTGGACAAGGGGCTGTGCTGGGTATGAGTTACATATGAGCCAACCAGGACTTGCTAGTTGTTTTGCATTGATGTTGATGTGTTTGCCCAAATTGATGGGTAATTTTTACTTTTCAGTACGGTTTTGCATGGTACAAGAAGTTGTCTCCCAATTTATTAACAAATATTTAAACTTGTTTTGTGCTTCATTGTTTGTTTTATCATGTCTTGTCACCACTTTTAAAATCAAATACAGAACAGGTATTTTATGCTACCGATTCCTTCATCTTTTAGCAAATCGCACCCTTGAGGTTTTTGTAATATTTATTGCATTAACCAATTCACATGCACTAATTAGCACATGACACATTCAGCTGTGCGCTTGACAAGCTTATTCTTGCTCAATGTAGTGCAATTTATATTTTTCAGTCGATTTTCCTTTTCTTTTATCAAATTTAGTTTTGTGAGAAGTGCAATACACGTTTGTTACACATTGACAGCAAAGAATTATCTTGTAGCACTGCAGGACATGAAGCATCAGGAACTGGGAGCATGAAATTTTTGATGAATGGATGTTTACTTTTAGCTACGTCAGATGGATCTACTGTAGAAATAGTTGAAGAAATAGGATTGGATAACTTGGTGAGTGATAACTTGCATGATGTTTTCTTGTTTCTCAACGCAAAATGTGCTCTTAAGAAAATTGAGAAAGGTTTTGAAATTTCGAAATCAAGTTGCTTTGGCAAATTTCCTAAATTCTTTTCATCAATGATTTTCTTTCTGTAAATCTGACTGGGAGATCTGTACTCGGATGGTGTTTTTAAATGCGTAAGTATCCTGCTTCTTAGAAGGGAAAGGATAGAATCATGTACTTGGCTTGACTAAACTCAGCCTTGGCTTCATGATTGCCTACCTAAAACTACTCGAGAGTTTGACTTCATGCTCAAGCAATAATTGTAACATCTTATAATAATGGAGGCTTTCTTTGATCTTTCTTTGACTACACTTACACTTATTTCAGTTTCTCTTCGGTGCAAAAGTGCAAGAAGTTGCAGAACTGCGTGAAAAAGGATCTACTTTAAAAGTACCTCTGCAATTTGCTCGCGTGTTAAGGTAAATGAATAAAAAATATCCATCTTTAAAGAATAAGTGATTAACAAATAACAATTGCAGATAATTTCTGATCACATTTCAGTTGTTACTTTGTTAACCATTAATATATTATTCAATGACTAAAATTAAGTATTCTAAAAGAAGGAATGTTGCTCTCAGTAATTTTTTCTTGTGATAATACAATTAGGATGGTTCGAGAAGGATATTTTGGCTACAAAGACTACTTCAAATCCTTATGTGATACGGTGGAAATCGGAAATGATTTCTATCTCCTTGGCCATGATTTTGGGAGTTACCTTGAGGCACAGGTACTTTCATTCGTATTTTTGTTGAGTCTCCTAACCATTTATATTACGATTCGTACAGAATTCAACCTTGATTTAACATAATAACAGGCTGCTGCCGACAAAGCATTTGTTGACCCAGAGAAGTGGATGAAGATGAGTATCCTTAGTGTTGCTGGCTCTGGGAGGTTTAGCAGTGACAGGACCATTCAAGAGTATGCACAGAGGACATGGAAAATTGATCCCTGCCGATGCCCTCTCTGATCTCTAATGTACCACGTCACGAAGCTAACCATCATGATACTAATTGGCTATATCTGTATTTGTAAAATAAAGTCTTTATTAGAAATAGTTTTCTTTGGCCACGCCAGAAGAAACCACACAATGAAAACTGTAATGTTAGCTGCGGATATCTACACGTAATGGAGTGGAAATAAATAATAAGATAACAAATATTGTTATATATAAATAATTTGTTCTGATTTTTCTTATTACAAAAATGTTATAATTATTCATATTAGATGATAGGCACGTGACATTTAAATAATTTCACTTTTTCAAAAAATGTAAAATATAATTTTATATCTTTAAATTAGTATAATAATTATTAATAAGATAATTTCAAAATCAAAATTTTAAAATATGTAATAATAGTTTTTATATCTTGAATTATAATTTTATTTATGATTTAATTAAATATAATTTGAATGATTTAATTGATTGATTGAATTAGAATATATAATCGTTGTATAATTATTATAATTAAGCATATTTATGTATTTTATGAATTAAGAAATAAAATAAAATAATTCAATTTTTTGATGAAAAAATAATAAATATAATGTTGTTACGTAACATTTACTTATGCGATAAAACTTTTTTTACAATCGATAACAGATAAATAATAAATTTGAGTTTTTTAAGTACACAAAAGTAACGTGTTGAATTTGTATGTATAACAACAGTCGATTTTTTTAATTAATGATAATTATTATACTTTATTTTTAAAGTGTAATTTTATAAGATCTAATGTATAATTTAAAGTGCAATTTTAATGTATAATTTGATTTGACCTATTTCTTTTGTTCAAACTCTTTTGTGATATTATTCTTTTAATTAGTCATTAAAACAATAAAATTATGTAAATAATTTTTAAAATGTTAATTTTTTTCAAACTAATCCCTCGATATTAATAAAATATAAGCCTAAATTAATAGGTTTTCATCACTTGAATAACTGTTTTTTCAAATAAATAATTTGGTCTGTGTAAATAGTTTTGGTAGTGTTTGTAGTGGCTCTTGCATAAGCGTCTGCATCGCATCACCATGGCGTTGGCGCTGCTACACCCTGTTTCTCCCATTCCCATGTTCTTTCTTCTTCTTCTTCACACTTTCCCTTCTGCTTCTGCTCAACCAGTCCACCACTACGCCTCACAAATCCAACAAATCAATCTCAAAATTGCTCACTTAGGTAAACCTCACTCAGTCACTCTTCTTAATATTTCATCATTCAACTTTCTACTTCATCTTATGCGAGCAATAATTTGAATGTAGAATCGGTTCTTGAAGAAAGCAATAACAGATTAAAGGAAAGGGATGTGTACCTGGAAGAGTGCGAGAAGCGAATGAATGAATTGTCGGAAAAAATTCACCATCTTCAATCTACTCTCTCTACAATTAAGGTTTCTCTTCCACTCTTTACAATGAAAACAGTGCATTTTATTGTTAATAGATGATACATCTTTCACTAGGCTTCCTTATTCACTTAATATGACCTTATTGATCCAACATGTCACCAAGGGATGTTGCTATTAGTTTATTATTTTGGTCGGATACATATTGAAATGAGGCTTCTTTTTTTTTTTTTTTTTTGAGAACCATGTGTTTGTCTTCTTTCAGGCTGATTCATTGCATGCCGAGAAACAGTATCAAGCTCTCGAGGAAGAGGTATTTGTTACCCAACCCAAGGTTCATGGGGCTCTTTGTTAGATATCTTTGTTGTTTAACAGTAAATTACTTCCAGCATTTTGTTTTCTGGATATAATTGAAAGTTCAGCTGATTTGAGAAATAGGATTGGAAATGCTTAGGTACAACTTCTTTGGGATGCCATGAGAAGGAACAACTTTGATCTTCATATTTTGAAATCTAAAGCACAAGAAACTGAGGAGAGACTGAAAGAGGTTACTTCAAACGTTGAAAAGGTTTTTACACTGTCTATTCTATCATTTATTATTTAGGTTGTTTTATTTTGTTTTAATTCATATATCATTTTTCCTGTTTTACACCTTCTGGTACATTCAGTGGAGAATTCTTTCTTGCGCATATTTAAAGAAATGAATGGCAGTTTGTAAGTATTCATTATATTTTATCCTTAAAAGTTACCAGATCCTATATTCAAAGATATACAATTTTGTGCATTCAGCAACAACTGTTGAGCTAGAATGCCTGGAAAGAGCCTTTAGTATTGAGAGCAACTGCAGATATTCTTCTATTGAGGAAGTAAAAAAAAATCTCAGGGGATTTATGTTGTTTATTGTTAATTCTCTATTCTACGGGTAGGAATTGTCAAGCTCAAGAGTCTAATCGTAACCAAAAGGGAAAATAGTGGATTGTGCATAAATTAACCATACAATAGTGTGAATAGAGTTGTCTAACTTGACCTTTTCTAGTGAACTGCCACCAAGTAGCAAGCACTTTAGTGATTATTAGAGCCCAAGTCCCAATGAGGCGGGGGTTGGATGATGTACACTCGTAGGAATAGGAGGCAACTAAGATAGCTACTTAGTCACTATCAGTTAGGCAGTTAAATGACTTGTTAGTTACAAGAGGTTGAGCAGTTAAATAGGGGACACACTGTACTTGGATACGTTCCCTGATAATTGAATAACAGAACCATCTTTTGTTGTAAGGGGAAACTCTTGGGGAGACTTTTCCTTTTCTTTGCAAAATTCTCTCTCCCTTTGTAATAGCATTTCATATCTGGGACCCTACCATTATAGCACTGGTGGGTATGACGCATCAAACGGAAGACTTAAGTATCTATGTGGCAAGAAAGTCAGTTTAGGATTACATATAATCCATTCTAATGCAAAGAATGATATATTGTAGCTCACAGATATGAAATTTAACATTTTCCTATACATTAATGAGACTTGGTTGGGATAAATTGTAGATCTATGCATTAGTTGATGTTATTCATCTTTTCCTTTCCAGATGGGTGACATTGTGAATGAACAGTGGATTCAAGTTCAGCATCTTGAGCAGGCTCTTCACATTACCAAAGTATAGAAATTTTATTTTCTAGACTTTATATTTTCAAAAACCTTAACATGATTACATCATTTTGTTCATGTTTCATGTGTTTTTCGAGATTCTCATTTATTTTCTATTTGCACCCTTGTGCGTGTATGTGCAAAGATAAGGACCCTAAAGGCTCAAAGGCTGGCAAGCGTGACAAAATGCACATTCTTGAAGGTAAGTTTAAGTGTTTTGAATAACTAGTTTGAGTGCTTCAGACTAATTTGCTGATGTAAAGATAACTAGTGCTTTATCCTGTCTGTAATGGTATTAAGTACACTCGTCTACTGTGACATTTCTTATTTAAAGATGTGAGAAATTGCTAAAGCTTCCTAGCAGTGAACGCAGCTATATATTCTATTAGTCATAGTTTCTCATCTACCTTTCTATATCATTGTTTGGTCCAAAGTTTATCAACATTCTTCTCGATGATCTTCGGGCACTTGATTCATACTTATTTGGCAAAAGGACCGTAGTCAGTTCACTCATCTCACAGGCTATGGACCAGTTGAAGAGGTGGTCATCATTGACCAAAAAGTATCACCATCAGGTCTGCATGAAAATATATTTATGTTTTTAGTTAATATCTGATAGATATTTGAAATTTGTGAATGAAAATGGTTGTTTATTCATGAGGTTCATTCTCTGTACAACTTGATATTTTATTTGAAGCTTGGTGATATCACATGGTTTCTCATACTACTATTCCAGCACTGTGCATTCTGAATTTCAAATCTTGGAAGTTGGAACTTCTATTGTTTTGCAATATATGGCCTGTTGAGTTTCTATTGTTTTGCATTTTAAGGCATGCCTCTTTCAAGAAATTCAATATCTAAACAGCTGCAAATTTTAACATTTGGTAGCTTCAAGGTTTCATCAAGGATCTGATGGAGAGAAATGAATTGACTGCATCTCTTGCAAATGATGAGTTAGTCTTCTTCCTGGTATGCTTTAAAGCTTTCAGTTTATTTATCGAGTTTAAAACCTTTAGATGAATAATTCTAGGATTTTATAAGTTCTTCATATCATGTCATTCTTTGACCAAAGTTACATGTTTTCAGGCTTCTGCTCTAATCACCTTTCCATTAATGAGTGCCTGGATATTGCTCTCTTCATAATTGCCAGGCAGGCAAGTATTTTTTTTTTCTTTTTAAATGAACAGGAAATTGCCCTCCATACTGCTTTCTACGGTGACAATAACAATCTTTTTCCAACACTAGTACTTCAAGAGTGATTCAGTGATGGTGGACTAATGTAGTTTTTATCCTGTATTGTAGCAAGTAGCCGAGAATACCTAGCATTTTTTTTGTAACTTTTTTTTGTATGTACATATCCATCGGGAAAGATCCTGAATTACATGCTGCTAAACCTTGGCACTCGCATTCGCATGGCGCATGCTATTATGAAACTAAATCTAAAGATATGGAAAGAAAATGTTGTGATAGGAACGATAAAAAGGAGGAGAGGTGGGGAAAATTTGACAAAATGAGAGCAATCTATAGTTTCTAAGTGAGGGGACATATAAAGTAAAAAGGTTAAAGTTTATTTTCCATTAATTTAAAGTTGATAAAATTTTCAAGGTATCAACGGCAGATAAATTTTTAATGATATGGACAAGATTTGGTGTTTTACAAGTATTTTGGTATTGAATGATGAAAATACAGTAAGTGTGACCGTTTATCAATGAAAATATTATATTTAATTTTGTTAGATGTTTTGTTTCTATTATAAAGTAGTGCTACTATAAAAGTTGCCTACAGAATAATAAAACAACACTTAGGTTTTGTCCTAATAGTATTTAGAATAAATTCTATTTTATTTTACAGAAGAATAAATTCTAATTTAGTCTTATTGCATGTGTCGTATAAATTCTAAAAATTAATCATCATATTAATTTCATAAATATTTAAGGAATCATTATATTACTGTTACCAAAAGAGAATCATTATATTAGTTCTTTAAAGATGTATACTTACTCAAATGTTGAATGGAAAAACCTTTCTTGGATAACAATTACTCCATTAAATATTTGAAGTTCTTTACTAAATAGAAATTTTCACAGGGGAAAAATATTATTCGTCTAAGAAAGAGAGGTGTATAAATTATAATCACTTCTCTATTTAGAATTTGATTTCTTTTCTTCAAATTCCAACATATTTTTATTAATGATTGGAATTTTATTTTTTTTACAGCTGTAATGTTTGGAAGTTAAAAGCTGTTTTTGGAATATTTTTTTTAACGAATTTTAAAACATAAATATAATTAAGTGTTGAATTCAGTTTCGTCTCTCTAACCTGTGCAACATGAAGCGTTTGGGTTTGGATAAATTGTTTCAACTCATTATTGTTTCGGGATTTGAATCTTATGAATGCAGTTAAGATAAATATTTGAAGGATTTTCTATCCATCTTTATCCTGCTTATCTCCAACAATTGTTTTGCTTAAAAAAAAAACACGTGATTAATTATATATACACTTGTGTCGTGAATTAAGCTTAACATAAAAATAATTACTGTTACACTATTTTGGATAAATAAACTCATCTTTTTGTTCTGAATCATGATTCGCGCCATCACACTAATCTACAAATTAAAAAAACAAACATAAATGACTAATTCTCTTTTTTTTTTTTTTTTTTTTTTTTTTTTTTTTTTTTTTTTTTTTTTTTATCATGTTAGTCCTTTATAAAGGACTCCTGATCAAAATAATAATAATAATAATAAGCACTATTTTTGGGTGGAAGAAAATAAAATTGCAGCACCGTGTTTGGTTAAGGCTGGGGACAAGAAAATAAGAAAAACTTATCTGATCTTAGCCTTATCCTCGTCTCTGGAAACAAGAGGCATGGAAGAATCAACATGGGAGCAGAGGGTCCAAGCCTTAACCCACATCCTAACAAGCCCCACAAGAACCCCAAACCTCCACTCTCAGTTCTTCATGGCCACCCAAATCCCCTGCTACCTCAATTGGGACTACCCTCCCATCCTCTGCCCCAACCCTTCCCTTCTCAAAACATGGGTCTCCTCTCTCTTCCTCAAAACCCTCTTCGGAAAATCTCCTCCCCAAACCTCTTGGCGATCCCAGTGCCCCTTCCACCAACCCCCACCCTTAATTCTGGCCCACGGCCTCCAGGAACCGCACTGGGGGGCCCAACAAAGGAGGGATTATGTTAGGAACAGATTCTCTAGGACTCTTCGCCGAAATGTTAACCCACTTGTACACATTCTAATACCTAATCTTTTCTTGTTGTCGCTTATGATTTGGAACCCCTTTTTTCGCTATTTAGATTGAATTCAACACTACCTTGGATGTTTGTTCCATAATTAGTTCCTCGTCTATCACATTTTTATCTGTGTATGAGCAATATTATGAAGATTCCTAATCCTAGTTATTTATTTTTCACTGTTCCAGAAAGAGAGAGCAAGAATCACTCCTTAGTATGACCTTTATAAAAACTAAATAATCCACTACTGCTTAAGCTGTATATATAATAAAACGAATCATCTCATCACTGTAATTGAACCATATATTGGATGACACTGTTAGTGCATATAATATTTCATCAAATAATTTTATTTTGAAGTGACTTAAGCAGATAAAGAAACTTAACAAAAATAGATCACTTAATAACCTAAATTAAAAATGATCATTTTATGTGCAAAGCTACTCATTTTCTTCGATAATGAGAAAAAAGGCACTTTCAGTTTTGCCCCAATGGAGCAACAAATCTTGCATTCCCGTCATCAGGGCTATGAATAAGGCGCAAAAGTCAGTGTGTTTGACCTCTAGTTTCTCATTCATCCAGTCTTTGAAATGGAAAGAACGCAGCCATAATTAACTATAGTTGCGCCAATTACGCAATCAATTTCTGGTCCAAAGAAACAAATAATTCCAATAAAACAATAAAGGATAGTATAAGAGATGAGTTAACCACTAAAGTCAGATACAGTTCATAAATGACCGTAATTCTTAAATATATTAATTAAGATTCAACTATATAGTAACTTATTTAGAGGGACAAAATTCACTTTATTAATTTTTAACTCCTGTCAAAAAAAAAAAAACTGGCTTCATTTCACTCTCATTTTCCACCTCAGTTAAAGCAAATAAAAAATACATTAAAAATGCTTTGAGGTATATTTATGACCTTGTAAACAGATATTCAAACAACTTTCTCAATCAAACAAGTTTTCTTTAATTTCTTATTATGGTACAAATTTAACGGTGTAACCATTTTACGCATTTATTTTTTTTGGTGGGCTTTAGACTAGGTCAGTAATAGAGCTTTAACACTTTCACTTTACAAAATTAAAATCCATGAATGATTATAGGTGCACCTTCTTCTTCCACTCTTGTGGGGTAACTTAATAACCAAATGAAAAATAAATCTTGGACAGAGGAAGGCACAAATGCAACACGGAAACCTCTTTGTTATAAATTTCTCCTTAATTTTTAAGATTTTTCATCAGTCCTCTCTTTCTACCTGCTTATGATGGTTCTCCTAATTGCTTTTACATAGTTTATCAAACCATTTACAAGAAACGCAATATCTGAACATAATAAAATAGTGACACTCACACACCCATGCACACAGGAGAAAAAAAAACATTTCACCCATAAACATATCTCTAATTTGGATTTTATTTTCATCAGTTGACACTTTCACCTAGTAGATGCAAGATCTTCTTGGCAACCTATTCAAGACTTTCTTTTTCTCCATGTTTCTTTGTTAATGCAACCAATTCAGTTTGATGTAGATCCCACCTTGCCTACTCCTTCGTTTACCTACGTCAAGAAAAATTTAGTAGTGTCAACCTCCCTAATTATTATCATATGGGTGGCCCCAAAGTAGTTGCCATGCATGGCAAACGTACAATTGCACCCTAAAGATGTGCAAGAGCAGGTTAGTAAGTAACTAAACAAACCTAACTGAAAACGAAATTAAATAAAAAACCTAATGTGCATTCATAACTCGATGAAAATTAATTACTGTTTTGTTTCTGATAATAAATATTTCACACTAATATCAAAATTACAAATAAAAAATATAAAACAATGAAAGAAAAAACTAAATTCTACTTTACCTTAGCTATTAACACCTTACAGAGTCATAAAGTGTCATGTATCTTATCATCACCATGCACTTGGATTTGCATAATGATCTGAAGTAGTGTATATAATGCAAAAGTATGTTTATTTAGATTATGGAACCAATTTTGTTTTGTTACAATTTGGAGTAATATTAAGATCCTTCAAAGTGAATTTCACGCTTATTTCATTTATCAAAAGGGTCTTCTTTGTTGATCAAAATCACTAATTTCAATGGTTTTACGTACTAACCAGTCATCCGAATGACAATATTGTGAAAATGTATTATTAATAGCGACATTTTTTAAAAAGAACTATTTACTTTTGATTCTTTAACAGGTAGTATCCTTAATATATATCTAATTTTAAAGTGTAGAAGTCTAAAACATAGGAGAAAGTATGATTGATCAACTTAGATTTCAGCACCTAAATTTGAGTAATCAGTTGCACAAAGGAAGATTGAATCAGCCCTTACTTGAGGACCATGGATCACTCTCAACGTAGACCAAGAATGGATGGCACATGCTGAGTGCACCAACTCCTCAATCCACGCATAATTACTCGCATAGGCCTTCTTTTGTCTCCTTGTTTTCCTTCTACCTTGTCCCCTTATCTTCTTCCGAGCTTCAACTTTTTAAGAACATTATCATTTAATTAGCCTATGATTAATTTTGCAACTCTTTTTTTTTATTTTTTTAAATTAAGCCGTAATCAATCACCGTATTTTCATTGGTGGGAATACCATGATCGATGGAGTTATGATATGATGAGTATACCTCCTACAAGACTAAATTAAAATGTGAAAGCTAATTTTGACATCTATTTATAGGTAATAAATAGGTCAGGCCCACCACGGCCAACCATATGTGAAATCACAACATTTACTTTTTGTAAATACAAATTGAAGGGCATCAAATAAGAAATGCCTCCACATTTTTAATTCAATGTTATAAGATTTATCTTAAAATATAATATGTGGACTTAATACTCTCAGGAATAATTCTTACAATATTAAAATAATATTTAATCACAAAAGTCACATTTTATAAATATAAATTAATTCTTAATTCTCAGATTTTAGATACTGCATGATCATGTCCATAGAAAATTTTTAAAAAAATATATATGTTTTTAGCATAGTTATATTCATTTTTATAAATAATCTATAAATGAAATATCATGATTTAAAATCAAAACATTTATTCAAGTGGAAAGAGTTGGGTTGTATATATAATTTTTGCCACCCATTTTGATAAATGACAATGTATAGGACCATCAATACTCTTTTAGTGAGTTTATGGGCCGCTCTGATAAAGAACCTTTTTTAGGCTGGAATACAACGGTATGAAACTACCACCAATGAAAGCAATGGTTGCGTCATAAACCATGGTGCAACTACTAATCAATAAAGACTTTGCTTACAATAAAGGAAATGTGAAAGACGCTAATTAAATGTTAATTAAGCTCTCTCAGCAGGATACGCGTATAAAGCTGTGAATCTAATGATTAGACTTTTGTAGTTACTCTGATGCTACTTTTCATAATGATACAAGCTGAAATTGAAGAAGAAAAAAAATATTCACACTCACAAATATCTGCACATAAAACTTATTATAAATTTAGAATAGATAATTAAATAAATATTCACTTCACAATGAGGTGAGAAGAACATGTATTCGCACTTCAAAAAATTCTTAATTATATATAAAGTAATTTAATTTAATTTATTTTTACAATAAATTGTAAACAATCACTTTTTAGCACAAATATATGTTATAATTTTTTTTAGTATAAATATATTTTTAAAATGATTTATTTTTAGTTTCATTTTATTTTTTTATTTTTATTTAAAATTTTAATTTTAACAAGTATTTACGTATACCTCATGGAATTTAATATTAATCCAAGATGGTTTGATATGAACTTTCAATTTAATGGTTGGATTTATAAAATTCACATTTAATATAAAGTTATTGAGCGATATAACACTTAATAAAAGTTACACTAGTGTAATTATAAGTCTCCTCATATATATATATATATATATATTATGCATATTTATAAAATGAATATCTCCCCTAGGTAAAGTGGATGACATGAGTTACTACTCATCCTATCCCATTGTCATTCTTAAAGCAGAGTTCTTAATTCTAATAATATTACATGACATAATTAAAAAAAGTGAAAAAAACCATACCTTTAAACTTTGGAGTACTAGCAACATACTATGAGAAAAAATATTTACGTTAATGATGCAATCACAAATCATCATTTACGAAAAAATTGTTGATTTTTAAAAAAATTATCTTAAAAATTATATCAATAATAATTTTTGACCGGTTGATAATATATCGGTAATGTATAACTATTAAATCTACATATTATTTAACAATTTTTTAAAACATCCTTAATATATATATATATATATATATATAATATTTTTATATAATTACAAATTAATTATATATATATATTTATTATTATTATTTTTTTAAGTTTGTTGACTTCTATAATAATTACATTAAAAATCATATCAACGATAATTTTATTTGTTTGACTATAAACTATATATTTATTAAACTCTTATATTTATATTTGTAGTTAAACTTTATTAAAACTTTTATGATTCAAAGTGGAATTTACAAAATTTTATAGTGTTTAGTTAATATACATATTTTTATGATTTTTAATATTTTTTAATTATTTTTAACAAGCCAGATTTTCTTTTGGAGGGACCACACAAGCATCCAACCTCATCCCATTTACACCTAACAAGTGGGGAAAAAATTTTAAGGAGAGAGCAAAGTAAAGGTTTAAGGAGCTCTATATAAAGATATAGCAAGGCAAAGACAGGTTCTCATCAGTATAGATCATTTATCCATCTTATGGCTCCCTTATCAAACTACATTTCTTTCCTTTTCCTCACTACCCTTGTGTTGCCTCTTCATATCACTGCAAGAGACAGCCAGTTCTTTAGCAAGGTCACCCATTTCAACAACAACAACAATGTCAAAGAGACTGAACTTCCCAACAAAGAAGCACCAGAAATAAACAAGCCTGAACCACAACCAGCTTTCATTCCTGAGACTGAAAACAGCTATGGCCTATATGGTCATGATGAGTCCAATGAACTTCCTTCCAACACCCCCACTCCCACTTCTTACCACCCCTACAAGGCTCAGTTTGAGGACCCCACCAAATACCCCAACCCCAAAAACAAGTACTACAACAATGATGCCTACAACAACAAGTTTTACAACAAGGATGCTTATGGGGGTAACCAATATGAGTTAAGTGACACCAAGTATACTCAAGAAGGATACAACAACAACAACAACAAGTACTACAACAATGATGCTGCCAATGATAAATACTACTACAACAACAACAGGTATTTTCACAACAACAATGTTGCTGATAACAGGTATAATGGTGAGAAGCAAGGGATGAGTGACACCAGGTTTTTGGAGGGTGGAAAGTATTTTTATGACCTTAACGCGGAGAAAGAGACGTACAATCCAACATACTATGGTGAGTCATCCAGAGGAGTGAACACTGAAAACTGGCACAACAACAGAGGTAACTACAATGGATACCAGAACCAGGAGGAGTTTGAAGATGAACAAGAGAACTTCGAGCCATGAGCTTGGATCATTGGCAAAGTGAAGAATTCACTATACTTTTGAGTATCCGCTGTGGCTGTTCCATGTTTTTATTTCAAGAAAACACAAAGTTAAAGGATGATATGTTAATTATGGCGGGCTTTTATTTTCATATTTTTATACTTAGTAGTACTTCTATTAAGTCTTGTCTCCGGAATTGCATTCTCTGTGTCTTGATCTGGAAATTCCGCATGAAGTACGAGAGAATGAGTAACTCTGCTTACAACCTATTAATAAGTTGTATAATGTGAAGTATAAGCATGTATGTTACCTTGCTCGATTTTTCTTTTACTTTTGTGTTCCCTTTTTAAGTTATAGTACAATATTTCTTCGTTTGTTTTTCTCTTTCAAAATGGTCCAATACGAGGGGAGACTAGAAAAATGGCATGCAGATTGCAATTTCAAAATGATTTCAAAATTCCCATATTTCCTGACCTACACTACCTACCCAGAAAATAAGAGAGATAGCATTTTTAATTTGAAGTAGAGTGGTAATGTCCTTTCTGAGACCAACTGTTCAACTTGGAACATTCATTAGAAAAAAAATTGGTAGATATCAATCTCTAATTAGTAATTAAAATACAGGAAAGGAAAGAGTAGTGTGGGTATAACGAGTGATGGGAAGAGAAAAATGAAGAAAAATAATAGATATTGGTAGAGTGTGTCCACATATCATGACTTCTTAAATTTTCTGAATAGGCCAATTTAGTTTTAGCAGCAGATGACTTTTTTTGTTAAAAATCTTCGGTCACTTAACACTCTAATTTAGTGTTCGTTTTACTATCTAGTTGAATGTTATATGCAAATTATGCAGAACAAAATTTGAGCTTCTTCATAGAATGTATATAATATCTTCCACTAAATTGAGATAATGTTGTGGCTTACATGTAGGGGAGTGATGCAGATTACCTGTAGGAGGATAATTTGTGTAAGTATAGTATTCATTGATGAATGGTTAATTACTGTGGCAAGTGGCAACAAAGAAATGTGAAAAGTTGTGTGTGGACTCTACCTAGCAGATTAATTATTATTCATTGGGGCTGTATTGCTTGGTATCTGTCTTTATCTGCTGCCTCATAGTCATAACATAACATGTGGAACCATTTGAAAATATAATTTTGAAACGAAACCTTCATTACAGTTGCAGACAATAAGGAAGGAAGGATACCTTAAAGCACAAAACAAATTAAATGGCCAATCGGTTCCCGCGAGTTACGGTGCCAAAAACACTTCTTTTGTTTATTTTCTTTCTGTGGAAAAAATAACTCTTTGTTTACTCCAACAAGTCATATCTGTACTTCAAGTCTTCACCATTATTTTGCATTTAGAAGTGGCCAAATATTGACTTTTTCACCTAAGTCACATTTTTCGTTTTGTACACGTCATATAAACTTAACCATAATATTAAATAAATATTTTTCTTTTTGCTGAAGTTTCAGATGGTCTAGAGATATAATCAAATATAAATGAGAAGTTCTCATCCTATAAATTAGTTTTGTAAAATTAAATTGACTTAAACATATATTTTAAGATTTTTTAATTAGATTATATTAAATGTTAAATATTTTTGGTAAAAATAAATCCTTTAAATATATACATAAATTAATTTTAATATTTAGAAGAAAAAAATTTATTTATTTTTTCTTATTTTTTAGAAGTGTTTCTAAAATATTATTTATCACAAATATTATTTCTCACAATTTTATCATTATATAACTTCAATTTTTTTAATCTTTGGTTAATATTATCATATAACAAGGTGTCGTAGATTAAAAATAAAAATAAAAGATTTAATTGTATTTTTTATTTCTCTAATATTATAATTGTGTTTGGTTATTAAGATTCTAATTGAATAATTTTAATTTTTCAAGTATTGTGGTTATATGACTTTAGTCCCTAAATTTTTAACTAAGAAATTTTAGTTCCTTAGATATCGAAATTATAGATTTTTTACCTATTTAAATTAAATATATTATAATTTTCATTCATGTATTAAATAATATATATTTATTATTACTAAAATTACTTATATATATAACTTAAATAAGTAAATTATAATTATGATGCTGGTAGAGTGTGTCCACATATCATGACTTCTTAAATTTTCTGAATAGGCCAATTTAGTTTTAGCAGCAGATGACTTTTTTTGTTAAAAATCTTCGGTCACTTAACACTCTAATTTAGTGTTCGTTTTACTATCTAGTTGAATGTTATATGCAAATTATGCAGAACAAAATTTGAGCTTCTTCATAGAATGTATATAATATCTTCCACTAAATTGAGATAATGTTGTGGCTTACATGTAGGGGAGTGATGCAGATTACCTGTAGGAGGATAATTTGTGTAAGTATAGTATTCATTGATGAATGGTTAATTACTGTGGCAAGTGGCAACAAAGAAATGTGAAAAGTTGTGTGTGGACTCTACCTAGCAGATTAATTATTATTCATTGGGGCTGTATTGCTTGGTATCTGTCTTTATCTGCTGCCTCATAGTCATAACATAACATGTGGAACCATTTGAAAATATAATTTTGAAACGAAACCTTCATTACAGTTGCAGACAATAAGGAAGGAAGGATACCTTAAAGCACAAAACAAATTAAATGGCCAATCGGTTCCCGCGAGTTACGGTGCCAAAAACACTTCTTTTGTTTATTTTCTTTCTGTGGAAAAAATAACTCTTTGTTTACTCCAACAAGTCATATCTGTACTTCAAGTCTTCACCATTATTTTGCATTTAGAAGTGGCCAAATATTGACTTTTTCACCTAAGTCACATTTTTCGTTTTGTACACGTCATATAAACTTAACCATAATATTAAATAAATATTTTTCTTTTTGCTGAAGTTTCAGATGGTCTAGAGATATAATCAAATATAAATGAGAAGTTCTCATCCTATAAATTAGTTTTGTAAAATTAAATTGACTTAAACATATATTTTAAGATTTTTTAATTAGATTATATTAAATGTTAAATATTTTTGGTAAAAATAAATCCTTTAAATATATACATAAATTAATTTTAATATTTAGAAGAAAAAAATTTATTTATTTTTTCTTATTTTTTAGAAGTGTTTCTAAAATATTATTTATCACAAATATTATTTCTCACAATTTTATCATTATATAACTTCAATTTTTTTAATCTTTGGTTAATATTATCATATAACAAGGTGTCGTAGATTAAAAATAAAAATAAAAGATTTAATTGTATTTTTTATTTCTCTAATATTATAATTGTGTTTGGTTATTAAGATTCTAATTGAATAATTTTAATTTTTCAAGTATTGTGGTTATATGACTTTAGTCCCTAAATTTTTAACTAAGAAATTTTAGTTCCTTAGATATCGAAATTATAGATTTTTTACCTATTTAAATTAAATATATTATAATTTTCATTCATGTATTAAATAATATATATTTATTATTACTAAAATTACTTATATATATAACTTAAATAAGTAAATTATAATTATGATGCTTGATAAATTAAAATCACACAATTATAGTTCATGATGAACTAAAATTGATCAATTAAAAATCGAAGGATTAAAATTATATAACTGTGATATTTAAGGATTAAAATTTAAGAGATTAAAATCACATGAGTGTTATATTTGAGGGGACAAACATGCATTTAACCCAAAATGAAAACTTAAATTAGCCAAAAATAATAATTAAAATGAAAACAAAAACGTAAACTAAAATGATTTAGGGATGTATTGGATTGAGGTTTTAGAAAATAATTTTAACACAAAAAAATATTGTGGGTTTTAATGGATTTTAAAAGATTTTGTCAAAATGTTATTATGACTTTTAGAAATTTTTTTAAAAAAATTTTAAAACTAGAATTTTAATCAAGACTTTGTAATTCAATTTTTAATGGATTTATATTATAAAATTTTAAAATATTTTGTAGATTTCATAGAAAAACACTATATCCAAAATTTGTAACACTACAAGATTTAATAAGAAAAATATAACATAAATAATAAAGAAAAGTAAAACCAATACAATTTTTATATCTTTTGATAAATAATTATCTTTATTTTTTGATAAATAATTGACTTTAATGTCTTCCTTACTAATATATTTTTTCATATATCTAAAGTCATACTAACCCTCGTATTTTCTCTCATGCACTTGAGTTTGATAATATGTTTAAAAATATGGTCTTTATTAACTTATAGCATTAAAGATGAAGATTTATTCATTAATTTGGATAAAGAAAAAAGAAGAAAAAAATACGAGAAAAAGAAGACAAAGAAAAAGGAAAGATAAATAACAAAGATAAATAAAAAGAAAATGAAATAAAGAAAAAAAGAATATAGAAAAACAAAAATGAGGAAAGAGAAAAATATAAGAGAGAAACAATAAAGACAAAAGAAAAAAAAAAGTCATGCAAAATCTAAAAAAATTTGATGAGATTGTTTATGGAATGAATTATATATAAATTATAGTAAAAAATTCACAAAATCAAATATTTAAAACAATTCATCAAAATCTTTATATTTTTCAATACAAACAGACTTTTTTAAATGAAAAATATCTTAATTAAATATCTTCAAATTTTCACAAACTCTTTTAAAAAATTCAAATTATCTTTTATTGAATATCACTAAATTTTTAAAAAATTCTTAAAAAAATCTTTATTGCTTTAATTGAACATCAGCTAAATTTTTATATTAAAAAAATTGATCCAATATCACTTGACTTTTTTACAATAAAAAATATTTTAAAATATATTCTTAATACAATACATCCCTAATTTAAAAAAGAAAATGAAAATGTGTCCTGATACGGCGGAAAAGTACATTTGATGGAATCCAAAGTGTTGATGTAGTCAGCTTGTAGTTAATTAAGCAGAATAGAAGACGTTAGTGGCAGCGAATTTAATCCAAAAGCAAAATAATCCGTTCAATTTAGAAGATTACAAATGAGATGAAAAAGAAGAGTGGGGTGTTGAAATTGAAAGATGAATTGAATGCTAACCTAAAACACCTAACAATTACAGACGGATAAATTTATGAGTATGGAGACCCATTTCATAAAATTCCATGATTTCGAAAGAATAATATGGAATTTCGTCATCTGTGCTTGATAAAGAGAAAAGAAGTGAAAAAAAAATGTAAAAAAATTAAAGTTATTTAATAAAAAAAATAAGAAATAGAGTGGAAATTTAATAATAATAATAATAATAATAATAATGTTACAAAAAAAACTACCAAAAATGACCCATATGTCATGTGTACATCATGCCTGCTTTCCCTTAACTTTTCTCGGCCCTTCC